AGAGTCAAATGTGACATACCTACTCAGAACAAAATCAGAACCTAATAACTGATAACCGAACAAGCCTCTGAATCCTAAATGTGCACTCGGATCAAATCTCACATCCTCGATGTGACCATTGCTGCGCAACCAAATATCTGATGCAACCCAAAATCTGAAGCAGCTCCACCAGATCCAAATACACCAAACGCAGCAGTCGGCAACCTATGTATAAGATGACTCCAATATGTTGAAGCCTCAACACCAGAACTCCTATGCAAACCAATGCTCGACATCAAACACCGATCACCCTCAAGAAAGGAACAACTCATCAAATCTGCCACCTCATCTCGTCGTCCCAATGTTTCCCCTCCAATAAAGTGTCTCAAACTGCCGTGAGCTAGGCACAAATGCATAAACGATCTCCTACCAAAATCAGAATAAAATACTCTATCCTTTCTATCCATACATTTCTTCCACCTGTTGTTGACTACTGGGACTTCACACCAACGGGACTTGGTTGCAACCCACAAATGCCTAGAACAGTCACCAACACAGAAAATCAAATACCTATTACCTCCCAATGATGCCTCCTTGGAAGGCCCCCAAATGTCTGAATGAACACCACCCAGAAGACCATTCACTCGGTGAATAGAAGTGCCAAACTCCACATCGGTCTTCTTGCTTACACCAATGTGCTCACAGAACTTCAATCTGCAGGTCAAAGCACTCCTCAATAATCTATACACGACATCAACAATCAAATATCCCAGCATCAACAAACGTCACAGTCTAGCCAAATCCAAAGAAGTCGTCAGCTCTCCACTAATCACCATGCTCCCAATCAAATAGTACAAATTCTTCTTTTTGACGTCCTTCATCACAATCATGGGCCCAAATGTGACATTCAAAGATGCATCCTATAAGGTCACCCGATAGCCTACTGTCTCCAAAACTCTAAGTGAAATGATATTCTTCTTCAACTGCGGAATGAACATCACTTCATCCAACTCCCGAATCAACCCGTCACATATCCTAATACGAACGATACCGATACCACTAATAGGGCATTCATGATCATTACCCATGAGCACGACATCCCCTCTTTCCAACTCCTCAAAGCTGGAGAACTAATCCCTTCTAAGGTAAATATGTAAGAAGCACCCGAATCCAATATCCACTCTGTAGAGTCGGTAACACAAACTGACGGCAGCGTAGGACATAAATAGCATGAAGAATCCGAATCTAAATTATCACCACTAGCCTTAGCAACATTCACCTCTGAAGCTTGAATAGCTTTCCCCTTATTCTTCCCGGCTCGATCTGTCAACTTTGGGCATTCGGCTTTTTAATGTCCATCTTCTTTACAAAAGGCACACTGATTCTTACCAATTGCAGGATGTGCTCCTCTAAACTATGATCTCCTACTACATCTTGGACTCTTCCCTTTTGCGACCAATGTCTCCACTATTGCATCAATTGAAGTCTCCTTATTCTTCTTCCGAAGCTGATAATTCACAAGTGCAGCGGTGACCTTACTATACAAAAGAGATGTCTTCCCATTAATAAGAGTAAGAACGAATGTTTCATATTTCTCGTCGGGCAAAAAACTCAACAATAACAATGCATTATCCTTATCTTCAATCATAACATCTACATTTGCCAAATCTGCAAGAAGATTCGTGTAATTGTTCATGTGATCACTAATGGAGGTTCTCTTCTTCAATTGGAAGCGATAAAGCCTCATCTTCAAAATACAAGTGGTTTTCCACACTCTTTGTCAAATACTTGCCCTCTAGGTTCTCCCAAATCTTCTTTGTCGAAGTCTCATTGATCGCATCATATTTCAAATCTTGTGTTAAACAAGATCTAATCATACCACACGCCGTTCGATTCATCTTCTTCCAAACCTTTTCCTCAATGTCGTCCGGTTTCCCGTCCAACTCCAAAGTGTCCTCCAAATTTTGCGCGTTGAGCACATCCAAGACTTCATATCTCCAAAAACCAAAATTGTTAGTGCCATTAAACTTCTCCACGTCTATCTTCATAGAGTGAATATTCAAACTTTGAACGGTCTTCATACCAGAAGTACCATCCACAACTCCTTCTTTCTCAGCCATCTTCCTCAAAGCACCACCAAACCAATGCGAAACAAACGAAGAATAGATCCAAACTGAAAAAGAGATTTTTATGCCTCCTAGTGAAACTCTAATAAGAGCCTCTGAAAGATCTCAACCCCACACGACGGAAACAAGATCCACAATAGTAAAAATCCCACCTTTATCACCAACTGAAGCCCTAGATGAGCTTCCAAAGCGATCTACTCCTTCACCTAGCCCAAGCGTAGCCAAAGCTCTGATACCACTTGTTGTGCGCGACGGCCAAACCGATAGGGTGCCGAGAATAAATACCAATGCCAAGAGATAAAGCCAAACAATCCAAAATAACGACACAAATACAAATAAATAAATTTTACGTGGTTCGGCAAGTTGTCTACGTCCACAAGGCAAGAAGGGGATGAGTTTTCACTAATAGAGAAGGGAGAGTACAAATAGAGATTACAAAATCACTCAAATCTCTCAAACAAATCTCTCAAATCTCTCAAACAAAACCCTAACCAATAGCACCAGAAAAGACACTTTTCTGTGCTCCAAATATCCCCAAAATTGCTCTCTTAGAAACCCTAAAACATGTTTGTATTCATACCAAATAAAAATCCCAATCAGAACATGAAACCGAAATCAAGCCCAAACTCGATTGGCGGCCGACCTCCGAAATCGTCGCGGTCGACCGACCAGAAAAACAGACACCAAAATCGATTACAGGGTTTGGCGGTCGACCGCACCAAGCCCTGAATTATACCCAGGGTCTGTGCACGTATCCGGTCGACCGGCCTAGCACCGCGGTCGACCGAACATGACCAAAACTGTTCTCCTGCTTCCCAAACCTGTTCTTCTCCAAATTCCTTCGCCAAATCTACAGGTCTAGCCACCTAGCCTTTTGATATCTCATTTTTCAAAATGAGCTGCTATCTCAAAACCATGCCATTTCACAACCATCAACTCGCAGCTTATTTGTAGAATGAGCTATTAAGAGGTACACATGTGATGATGCCCACCTTAGCTATCACATCAAAAGTTGTGGGTCTAGCCACCTAGCCTTTTGATATCTCATTTTTCTAAATGAGCCGCTATCTCAAAACCATACCATTTCACAACCATCAACTCCAACCACCACCACCCCACCTCCCCACCCCCCCCCCCCAAAACACACACACACACACACACACACACACACACGTGTATGTGCGTGCGCGCGCGGCGTGCGTGTACACACACAAACATAAATATAGGGGGCCAGGGTGTCACTCTAGCCAACTATGTGGGGTGTCGCTGATGTGTCAAAAAATCTAATGGTTCACTTAAATTCTATTCTCTACTTATGCAACCACCCCCTTCGTTAATGCTATGTTTGGATGGAGGGTAAAGAAGGGAAGAGAAAGAGAAATTTAAAATTAACATTGTTTGGGAGTTTAATTGGGAGAGTAGAGGAGGGAAAGATCGGAAAAATTTACACTAAAATGTTACATCCCAAATTGGCGTGTAAAGGAAGGGAAGGAAAGGGAAGGTTTGAAGAAGTTCAAAATGAAAAGCTCAATTTCTAAAGTAGTCAAAAAATTTTACTTCCTTTTTTTTTAATTGGTGATACCTACGTGTCTACTTTACTAATGAATAAATTGGTTTAACTGTGATAGATGGATAACGAGGGAGCATCCAAACTATTATTGTGCCTCACTTTGACGAGCATTTTTGACGAGGAAAGTCGTGGAGTTCGAGGATATCAATGAAGAAGAAACTAATCAACAAGATGAAGACATTATCGTTCAGCAGCCGTATATTGAGATCTCATGACTACATCGGACAACATTGATTCGAGATCTCATGACTAATCTGAAGGGTTACTTGTGAATGCTGCGACTGAAAATCAGATAGAGAAAGCTACTCCTCGACGATTTCATGATCACCCAAAAGAGGAATCTAAAGAAGAAGGATATTGCGGAAGAGAGAGGCCCTAGCAATTATAAAACACACTTCCAAAGCAGCAAACAAGCATCAGATCCTGAATTTTATTTTGCAATACGATCGGACGATGATCTCACATTTTAGAAGTGTATTTTGGGCCGATGGAAGATCTAAGAACTTCGTATACGAATTTTGGGGACGTCCTCGTCTTCGATGCCACTTACGGGACAAAAAAATAATTTAAAACCTCCATTAGCTCCATTTACTGGAGTAAATCACCATCACAGTCGGATATTATTTGGATATGGATTACTAACTGATGAGAAAGAGGAGACTTCAGTATGTGTATGGCTATTCAGAGAATGATTGAGATGCATGTCTGGACTTGAACCTAATGCGATCGTCACAGACCAGGATGGGGGCTATCTGCAGTGCTTATTGAGATAGTTTTTCTAAAAAGTCATCATCGAATTTGTCAATGTCATCTTCATATAGCATGAAGTAGTGCGTATCCGGAAGCTGAGTCGGGATCATGAGAAAATATGGGAGGATTATAACACATGGAAGGAGAGCACTATGGTAGAGATGAACTTATGATAGAGATAAAACTTAGAATATAAGCCAACAAATCAAATGTTAGTATTATATCTTTTAGGTATTTAGTATGTCAATGAAATATAGACGTAAATTCCAACTTGAAATGATAAACTACAGAAGAAATACAAACTGAACGATTTAACATGCAATGAATGTACATAATATTTGCACACAAGTAAGAGGCAACACTTTGACATGAAATGTGCAATGAACATACCAAGCATTCACACCTAGTTTACACAAAATAATAGTAATAATAATAATAATAATAATAAACAATAATAATACTAAAAGTCATTCTCTCTCAATTCCCTCTCTTATCGGTGAGATTATACCAGCTTTACATATCTTTCAGAAATTAGAGAAAAACATATATTGGTGAGATTATACCAGCTTTACATATCTTTCAGAAATTAGAGAAAAACATATATTGGACTGATGCACGCAAATACAGTGAAATCATTTCTTTTTTGCTACAAGTCATAATATCAGCATTTAGTATCTAAGATATATACAAATGTTACAACAGGAAACCTTTCTGAACATGAATCAGTATGACCGATCAATTTTACATAGTCCTCCCATATTTGACAAAATTTGGCATGGTTCAATACTAATTCGATATTATCAGCTCATGACGAGGTCGCTCCTCTAGTATTGTCCTCGCAGGAACAAATTGCCCTGTATGGTAAACTGGGCCATGTCAACATTTGGTATATTATTTATCAGATAATCATATAATATCCAACATTATATATTCTCTTCTACTCTTCGGTTTAATATTTTGGGGGATTATGGTATTACGAATCCATGATGTTTCTTGAACTAGAAAGAAATGTCCAGATTAGAAGATGAATTCAATTCGACACTGCATACTCTTATGCAATTTCAACAATTCTTGAAAGTTAATCTGTATATATCCATTTAACCATGTATATCTGCAATACTATCCCTAAATCATCAACTTTAGAAGAAGAAGAAGAAGAAGAAGAAGAAGAAGAAGAAAAGAAAAGGAAAAAAAAACTCACCCAAATAAACAAATCATCAACTTTAATACCCTAATTTGTAACTTCAATGCAAAAATATCAACAAATAATCAATTTTTTACTCACCATATCCATCAAAGTTGATGGTTTGTTGATTTGGGGGCAACTTTTTTCAAAGATGATGATTTAGGGAATAGTTTCGCAAATACCAATGATTTGTTGATTTGGGAGGTATATTTTTTCAAAGATGATGATTAAAGGGTAGTTTCGCAAATAATGAGATTTGGGGGATAAATACAAGTGATTTAAGGGATACATATATACTAAAAAAAACCTTCTTCAAATCCTTTACAGAAGATGATAATATTTAATGTAGATACGAGGTAATACAGAAGTAGTGGGAAATGAAAAGATAGCACAGAAAATCAACTCAACATTAAAGTAAACAAAGCATGTTGATATCTGGAGTTGTCTGATAGAGACCGCTTTTGCCAACTTTGACTACATAATAAATCGGCAATAAATCTGACCTTAAAATTCTTTGGATTTTTCATCAACGCCATTTGCTCCCAAAGACTTCACCATGCACTTTCCTAGTCATCTTTGCAGGAAAAAAAGACGAGATTTAGCACCAAATAAAATAGAAGAGTAAAGAAAATTAAGCATCCCACTTACTTGAGTAAATTAAGCATCCCACTTACTTGAGTATCAGATGTCACTAGCATTTCTGGCAAAATTGAATTGCAATTTTGACGAAATCCGTTCTGCTTATGAATCTTCTTCTGCAAAGTAGGAAATTTTTCCACATGTCAATTTTGAAGAGGGAAAGATCATTTACATGCAATATTCAGAATTGCAGAAGGCAATAACAATCAAAATCACATATTACCAAAATTTTTAATGTCCCTTTTGGCTTCACAATTTCTTCGATAGGAAAATGTTCTTTTGTTCTACTCTTAACTGCTGGCTTTGAAATTTTAGCTCCATAGAGTTCCCTCTGAGACAATGGAGCACTGCACTGATGACTAGAAGGGATGTCAATATTGTTAGCAGATACCTCATTTAATCTGTATTTAGAGGGTCTCATATTTTTCCTTCTATAATCATAAGAAGCTTCTCCTGTAAAATCTCCATTCTTGTCTTCCATTATGAATATTCTACTTGGGGTGTGACTATAGTTCTTGATGTCTGAGAATTCTGGGGTCAATTGGCTGCTGGTATTGTTACTCTGGAGATTAAATCTCTGTAAGTTTCTGTCATAGCCAGCTCGAGGACATAAGCCATTCGGTATCCTCTCAAGTTTGAATTTGTTATACCTCTGGTAGGGAAAAAAAAGAAAGAAAAAGGAAAAAAAAAATCAGGGTACATTCCTTTTGTAGAGCCATAAAATGTATGATAGGTTAAAATTTCAGCATATGCATTCATTATATGTTATTATATTGTTAGATGTATAAAGACCTTTGATTTACTAACATGGCTATGTATATCTAAATCTATATATGTAGCCACTCATTATATGCGAAAAAGACAAATAAGAAAAACACAGCTAAGATTTATGAATCTAATCCATCACGCACAGAAAACTTCTTAAATATTTACTCTATTGCTAGAATCAGCATCAGTTAGTCTATCCAACAATTATACTTTCTAAAATAGAAGGAATTTGTACAGCTGCATCAGAATCCATATTAAACAATCTAGTGGCGTTTCCTGTTGAGGAACCAAAACAAACAACTATGTTGTTCATAAGCTAGCAGAAATTTTGCAATAATATAAAAATTACTAATAGTCGAAATAGGACTTGGAGGTAAATTCAATTAGTTCGGCACTAGGTCAACTTCTTTAGACACTAAAAAAGTGACAGGAACGGCTACATTTACCAACTACGTGGTGAATATGATTAACAGGTGCCAGTCACTTTTATTATTTAAGAACTCTATTTTGCAAATTAATTTTCATGGTAAATAAGATAACATATAACATGTTGAAACATCTTTCATACTTATAATAAGCCTTAGCTGTTTTAGTGCAAACTAGTGAATTTTTTAAAAAATTCTCAGAAACATAAGCAAATAATTGTGGTAACAATGTGGGGAGCACTTCAACATGTGGGCACGCTTAATGAAGTCAATGAAGCTCAATACATGAGGCATTAAGGGCCCAAACCCTGATAAGTGAATCAATGGAGGGCAAAGGAACCCAAAATCAAATAAACAGGACTTGTTTATTAATGAAATATGATATTAAGATAATCTCCAGCTGTTCGTTTCAGTAGTAGCATAGCAGCATTCAGACTGCAATAATAGCAAGAAAATAAATAAGCCGCTTAATCCTAATGATAACCTTGAAAGTGGAGCGTTAATGAAGAACTGAAAATGACATTAGAAACACCCATATCTAAATCTATCTAGGTGTGCATTCTAAGCAAATTAAAAAATATAAATAAAGTACAGATGTGCATAGACTAAATTTCAGCCCACAAAATGGGTATACAACCTGTGGTTGAGTGTTACAGGATAACCCTCAAAATAAATTGGGAGTTCTGCTGCAGTAGCAAGAATATTAAACCAATAATGAAATTTAACCAAAAGATTAACTCTGTTCAAAGTAGGTTGCAGTTCACTCAATCTTTTCAGCAAGGCCCAAAGCTTTATAGATGCACTCATCTTTGAAAACTTAATGAAGTAAGAACTGGCCAATAAGAAAAGAGTATAAAAAAACATATGGCACCTGAAACCGATGTATAAGGATTCAACAATGGGGCACACTAGAGAGAGTAGAAGATAATTGAACTTTCAGTACAATAAGAGCTTGTCTTTACTTGGCTAGGCTTGAAAGGGCAAAAGGAACAATTTGATGAACTACCTCATTGTTTCCAGCAATCACATCAATGCTACAAGACCTCGGCTGGATAGGATCTCCCACATAATATGGCTCTGATGAATATACAGACAAGAAACAAAATACATTATGATTGTTAAATGAAAAAGAATCCACAAGAATAAAGGATGAACCCTCAAGTATCAACAAAACAAGAGAGTGAAGAAATCTTCAAAGAGAATCAGATAGTTGATCAGTTACTCTGAAAGTTGAGAAATGAACTGAAATACATGATCTAAAAGTTAATTTGATTGTAATTTAAGATGAATTCTTCAACTAGAAACATGCAAAGAAAATTAAAACCTAAACTGTTGCAAGGAGTAACCCAAAGACCCTATAGCTTGTAGAGGAAATTTTCTGATTTCAAATGCCAAAACTTAGAAGTTAAATGGCAATATAAATAACTAAGAAACCACAAACAACTATTCCCACTAAATTGATATAATCCATGCAACAAGTGTGTACTCCACACTTCAAACAGTTATACTGATGACTCTTACAAAGCGGCACATGAAGTAGAGAGGACAAAGATGACCTTTAACAAAAAGATGAATAGCTTGGTGATGTTAATTAGTAGAACAAAGAACTAGAATTTAAGTGAATGCCTAAACAAATGAGAAGTTGCACCAAAAAATATGTTTACCATTATCTGCGTCTCTAACTGGCGAATCGAAAGCACCAGGAGGAAGAGGGTCGAAGTCAGTAGCAAGAGGAGGACCATCTTCGTGGTACTCCCTACCTAATTTCAACTTAACCATCGAAACAGCAGGACTTTCAACATAATCAAGCAAATATGAAGACCTTTTCTCCACCATATATCCTCTCTTTGTTCCATTCTTGATGTTTGTATACATGCAATCTTCATCAACGCCCTGCTTTAATAACCTTTCATATGATGTTGTACTACTTCCTGAAGACTGATCATCAACAACATTAACATGGGAGAGTTTTCCTCTTTGCTCAGGAACAGCTGCCGAATTTTTTTTGCCATGAAACCGGTTGCTTTCTACTTCTTTACCATCAAAATACCTGTCGACTTGTTTTGTACTGTTACACGACTCTTGTCCAAATCCACTAGTACTGTCATGTATAGCAACAGCTGAAGGATTCTGTTTTCTGTTTACATAGCATTCATCCTGCAGTAACCTTTTGTCTTTTGATCTTCGGTGGCAGAACCATCCGGCAACTTGCTTCTCTGACAATCCTATTTGCTTGGCAAATTGCAACTTCATTGACTCACTCGGGTACTTATGCTCTGAAAAGTATGAATAATTTTTCTCATGAGTTTATGTACAAGGGACAAAAATCAATTCTAATCATCAAAATCTTCGACATTACAAACTCAGAATTTGTACCATTGTAGAATTTCTCTAAGGCCTGAACCTGTGCTGGTGTCTTCAGTCTTCTCTTGCTTTTTTCAAGAAAGTGATTGTCTCTTTCACAATCCATATCATCGGAATCTAAAAAATTAGAGGAGAAGAAAGATTTATTTCTCTGCAAATGATAAAATAGGTAAATTGCAACAAGAGAAACTCAAGCGATAGGATCCTAAGTCATTAAATGTCAAGCAATCTAGAACTTCTTAGGCAACTAAAGGTGAAGTTGTAACCAGCGTAGATACAGATTACAACTGTTTAACAGCTTTACGAGTATACATTTCTTTAGCTAATAAACCATCATATTTTCTTTGGAAACTACGGGAGCACACCACTATTTGTGGATGTGCAAAAAGCTCTTTACTTGAATAAACCAGATATAAACTTTAAGATGAGTTAGCTAACAAGTGTTGTGAACCTCAAAGACTTGTAGATCAAATATATTTCAATAAACAGTGGCCGTAGGGATATTGTTAAAAGTTTGCAGATGGCATATGAAATCCTACAGACTCCATAATTATCTCATAGAAGGCAGTGGCAAAATCGTTAAAGGGGATAGGGAAAAGAGAGAACACTCTCTTCTGACTAGAGATGAAATTTAGTGATGCAAGTAAGTAATATAAAAAAAGAAGAAACACCAAAATCATAGTTATCAAGAGGCAATTTCATTGCATCCTACGTTAGACAGATCAGTAAGTAAACATTAAGATTAGATTGGCTAAGCAATACTTTCTTGATGTAGCAATTTCACCTTATACTTGGATATGATTTGTGACTGTAACTAAACAAAATTATCTCTAACCATTTGTATAGTTCATGCACCCACTTTCTTGATGTAGCAATTCCATCTTATAGTTAGATATGATTCATGACTGTAACATATGAAAGCAGCTTGTAAATATGAAAAGCAATGAACTCGCTAAAGCATTGGTTCCCTCTTGCCATATATATTATTAATTATATATATATATATATATATATATATATATATATATATATATATATTAAATATTATATATATTTATATTATATTATGCAGCCCTGATGCTTGGCAGAATGCCACAATATAAGCCACATTAAATGCTGAAATCAAGCACCTATATTATATATATATATATATATATATATATATAATATATATATATATATATATATATATATATATATATATATTATAAATGCCACAATATAAGCACATTAATGTGAAATCAAAGCACTATATCTGAGCTATCAGAAAGTAATTGCATAGAATGCTAGATTTCCTAATTGGCCTACCTGTTCGTTTTGGTTCTAGAGTTAAAAAGGTCTCTTATAGTCATCTCATTTCTTGTTAGCATGCCTGAGAAGCTTGGTTTATCGTATAGTTATCTTATAAATACTTCATACTCATGTGAAAGTCACAAGCTATTAGCATTTCTCTGCATGGCTAAATCATGTTTATTAGTTGTGTTGATGTCAATTATCAAATCGGGGGTTTGTGTGAGGATTATGAGAGTGTTAGGTCCTCAAACTCCCTTAGATGGCATGTTCTGGGGTTTACTGTTCTTCCCTGCACATAAAGAGGTTGTAGAGGACGGAGTTGGGATCCCCGGTTGTTCCTTCGACGATCAAGTTGTAATTGATCTTGAGTGGAAATATAGAGATAGGGTAATTCAAATTTGCGTGAAAAAACCAGAGCTTACCCCATGTAATGCCACTCCATTTTATAGAGGATTGGAAGGGCAAAGAGGTAACTTGAGCTCGGTCCAGCTGCCTAGCTGAGTCAGCAATCGTCTTCCAGATGTCCGCCACGGAAGAGAGTGAGTTATTTGGTAATTTAATGAGGGAATGACGACAGGTGTTTGGCACTAACTGGGACTGATGAGTCATAAAAACTATGGAGGCTAGAGTAATGATGATTTGTCAAAGTCGTTAATGCAAGGATAGTCGGCTAGCGAGGGTTCGAGATAACTATCGTTCCTCTATTCGTTTGGTCAAGGGCTGACGAGCACCGCCTTTTGACTCGGCTATGTGAGTTGTCGGCTGAACACTAGGCCAAGTACGAGTCGATTTGGTATGTTGATTGATAAGTACCGCCTTTTGACTCAGCTACGCGAGTTGTCGGCCAATCGAGTCGGTTGTGGAAATGGCTTGAGTCGTCTAGGTTAGGGATTTGTTTGATTACGTGCAGGGACACATATCAGTGTCTTAGTGGAGATTAATACTTAGTGATTTTTGGATCGTAACAAGTTGTTTTCTATTATGTTGTATACCTTGTGCATGCAATCTTGAGTGCTCGACATCAAGGCGATCCGATAGTCCATGGCTCCTTGTGCCACACAACCAACCACGTCCAGGTCAATGGGGAGAGCTGTAGTGATATTCCACAGTTATAGAGATCAAGTAAATGGGTAAAACTTGAATGTCAATGCTCGATTAAAGCCTAATAGTAGTTCTTTCCCATACTTTTGCTGATGGGGACATCCGCACACAGGTTCGAGATTTTCGCCGAGTTTATCAGCGAAGGAGACGCCAGGTTGCAGCACTATGGTTTTAATTTTAATTGTAATAAATGAGTTTGAAGTCTGGAAATTTTTCTTGAATTTCAAATTTTCGAATTTCAAATTTCAGTTGGCAGCTAATTAGTTAAGTGGTTGTATTTTGGTCATGAGAGAGATTTGAGGGATTTAGAGGATTTTCCAAATCTGTAAGTTTTCTTTATTTAAGCTCTCTTGTAATCGGATTGAAATCATTGAAGAATAAGAAATGAAATTTACCTTGCTTGATTTGGTGTGAAACCCTAGCAGTAAATTCGTTCTCTTCTACAGCAGCCATTCAAAAGAAAATTCAAAAAAATTGGTTACTGTTCATCGTCTTCCTCCTCAAACAATCACAGTCAAACAACCATTCCTCTCTTCCCCCACCAGCAGCCGCTCCATCATCAACTCCAGATCCTTTCTTCATCGCTCCGGATCCCCCACCTCCGGCCACCTCCAGCAACGCCGGCAGCGCCCCGGCTTCGTCCGCCTCCACCTCCCCGACCCGCCTCCTCTTCAAATCCCCCAGTCGCACCCCACCTCCAAGCGCCCAGTCCCCTTCCGACGCCAACCCCCTGTCCTGGCCGCTCCGATCTCCTCGTCAACAACCCCCACCACCGGCTCCCCTTTTTTTTTCTCCCCACAGATCCGTTCCCCTCTCATTTTTTTTGTTCCGTGAATAATTCCAGAAAACCCCCTTGCGTCTATTATTATATTCTGTGAACAGTACTCCCACAAGAGACAAATCTTTCCCCTCTCCTTATTGTTATTGAGGTTAGATCCGGTTTATGAGCTTTGTCGGTGTATGGCTGATCCTGATGCTGATGATGGAATCGTGCTAGATCCAGAGACCGGCATCGTAGATTTACAACTTTCCCCGTGGTTCGATTATCAGTCATTCGAGAGCGTGCCCGAGTATGTTAGGCGTGTGACTCCTTATATCGCTGACAGTGTAGAGAGTAGTTTGGGAATCAGCTCGTGGCATCGGCGTTTCCATCCAGATACACCGCTCCATCCTAACTACGCCGCCCTCGGTGGAGAGCTTCCACCCCTCATATTTGGCGTTGTTGAACAACCTCCAGAGGATCCTCCCGTCGAACCAGTTCAACCCGACGAAGGTTCAACTTTCTTTCGCCCAATTATTTACGGAACTGCTATTGCTTGCATGTTGCTATCAATATTATTATCAAGCGTATTTGTGCTGTATTCAACTTGATTAAGTGAGCGAGCGAATCTGTTGCCAAGTATGTCTGCTTATCTAAATATTACAAATTGAACTGTATTGAGAGAACGAATCATTACATTTATTTTCTGGATCATTTACAAAGATTTGAACTTAGTACATTACAACTTTTGCTTAAAATCCATCGAAGGCTACATTTTATTCCTGAGCTTCCTGCCTAGATCGATCGCTGATTTGGCGAAGCATTG